CTGATCAATAAGGGCAAAGAATTAAGCAGAGGATGAAGGGATAATGTAAATGTGACCAATGATGTTTCAAGAAGGTAAAAGCAAGTTGGGAAAATCAGCCCAGTTTTCTGCCAGGAGACTGTTGGGCTGCAGACAGTTCTTGAGAAGGAGGTACTATGAGCTCTACATTTGGGATATTTCAAATCTAGGATGAAAAGTATGTTTAGAGAACAGGTAGTAAAGAATGTGGTGGAGAATCTTAAAAAGAGCAACGAGTTGTCCAGAAAAACAGACATGCCGTGTTGATGTAGAAATCTTTGATGTTGAAATTTAGTTTAATTCTGTATGTTGTTTGAACCAAATACTGCCAACTTACACATGCTATATAATCATATCTTGCTTTTCCTCCTCTAGTTGAGAAGAATCCTCGAACAGGAAACCTTGGGTCCTTGATTAAAGTCTTTCTTTCAAGAACCAAAGAGTTAAAAATCTCAGCAGAATGTCAGAAGTGAGTACCCAGGAAAAAGCTGCACATGTCATTTTACTTCTCAAATGTTCCATTTGCTGCCAGATCTTCAGCTTTTTACTTTGCTACTTAATATAAACACAAAACTTAGAATCCTCTTGTTTGAAACAGAACAAGTATGTAAGTACTTTTCCACACAGAAGGTTGAGTGAAATAGGTAAATAGATTGCTGAGGGAAAAGACATGTTTTTGTTGATCCTGTGGGTAACATGCAGCATTTTGGCACAAATGTGTTCAATTTCTAATTACTACTGGTTTAGAGCTGTTTAAAAATCTCCTGACCTTTTAAGCTAAATCTTAGATGTATGAACCAATATTTTATCTTGGGAATACTTTGAGTTGGATTAGATTTGAACACAAACCTCTATATGAAGACACTATTTTCAAATCAAGTATAACTGCCACTGGTTTTGCTTGTCCCTTTCAGCAGTAGGAAAGAACTCCAGGAGGTTCAGGGCTGGATAGTTTTTCCAGGAAGCTTTCTGTAATTGTTCCCCTACACTCACAGAAAAATGTCCAACTCCCATTACATCTGGGGTTTCAAAAAAGGAAGACTTTGTTTTTAGTGCCCTCTTGGTCCCAGAACTGCCCTCAACCTTTTTCCTTATATCTGGAGAAAGAAATTTTTCCTGCCTGGACAGCTCCTGCTGCTTTAATCCCAAAATACCTTGCAAATACAACTTCAAGCAAGAGCTTGACTGTTTGCTGTTGTGTGGGCTTTCTGGCAGTTGCTGTTTGTGACTCAAAAAAATGTGGTGAAGCTAATTCCAATGGAGTTCAGGAAGCTTGGACAATATTTGTGTGTGTCACGTGGAATCATCTTCCTGTATTGTGCTCCTAAAGTCAATAAATGCCTGCAGGGATCTGAAGGCTCTTGGAATGGGAAAACTGCTAAGGTTTAGGCACCCAGAGTAGCTTTTGTATCTGAAGGTGTTGCAAACGTTCAGATGTCAGTGTGGCTTGGGGACATAGTGTCTAGAAACCTTCAAAGTATGCTGAGCTATCTGGTGAGCTCTTGGATCAGTGGTACTTCTGGGAACTGTGGTGTTTTTAACAATACCTTCTTCTGGAGAAGAGAGGTTCTGAGGAGACCTTAGAGCAACTTCCAATACCTGGAGGGGCTACAGGAAAGCTGGGGAGGGACTTTAACAAGGCCAGGGAGTGATAGGACAAGGGGTGATGGTTTTAAGCTGAAAGAGGGAAGATTTAGGTTGGACATCAGGAAGAAATTCTTCACCATGTGGGTTGGAATAGGTTGCCCAGGGAGGTTGTGGCTGCCCCATCCCTGGAGGTTTTTAAAGCCAGGCTGGATGAGGCTTGGAGCAACCTGATCTGGTGGGAGGTGTCCCTGCTCATGGCAGGGGGGTTAGAAACTGATGATCTTTAAGGTCCCTTCCAATCCAACCCATTCTAGGATTTTCTGAATACAACCTTAGGAATAAAGTTATATTCTCTTGGGGGAAGAGGAACATTACTGCTTTTAAATGCATTTCCAGTTTGTTTGCTGTAGCATCAACTGAAGACTCTCTTCTTGAACCCTTTGTCTTTTCCTTACTTCAGCAGTAGGAACCCTTTGTCTTTGGGATTTATTTTCTTTTGGGCTTGGATGCATCTTCACAGCTTGAGTGTTACTGATTCTTGTTTGTTTCTGCTTCTTTTTCTAGTCACCTCTTCATCTGGCAGGCTCACAATGCACTGTTCATTATTTGCTGTTTGCTGAAGGTCTTCATCAGTCAGATGTCAGAAGAGGAGCTGCAGCTTCACTTCACTTATGAAGAGAAAGGTCCAGGCTCATATGGTAGGTGTGCACCACTGCTACTGAAACAAATGTCCCACAAGAAGCTAAAAAGTTCTGGGGTTTGTAGATGTGGTGCTGAGGGCCATGGTTTAGTGGTGGTCTTGGCACAGTTAGGTTAATGGTTGGGTTTGATCATCTTGAGGGTCTTTCCAAGCTAAATATTTCTATGATTCTATGCTTAATTTAGACTAAGAATCCCAAATTTTGCTGTAAAACTAGAAATGAAGTACAGGTGAGGTTGCATACAACATGTTTACTGCTTGGGAGAGGCTGTGAGATGGAAAGGATGTAGTCAGTAGCAAAACTGGCTTCCTTCAGCATCTGAAGTAATTTGGTGTAAACCATGTTCCTTTGTCCCATACACATGAAAGAGAAGACCTTCAAACTGTGATGAGATATTTTAATAACATCTTGACCCTTGTCTTCTGCTAGAATTAAACACTCTTTAGCAAAGTATTCTTTATTTCTTTCTTTTTTTTCTTCAATCTCCTTTCTTCACTGTGAGGGTGGTGAGACCCTGGCCCAGGTTGCCCAGAGAAGCTGTGGCTGCCCCATCCCTGGCAGTGTTGAAGGGCAGGTTGGATGGGGCTTGGAGCAGCCTGGGCTGATGGGAGGTGTCCCTGCCCATGGCAGGGGGGTTGGAACTAGATAATCTTCCATGTTTATACCATTTCTAGTAGCACTTGACTGTAATTCATAGTGACATTTATTAGTGATAATTTTCTTCATATTGATGGCAAATGTACTTAGCAGTTATCTTGGAGCAGATTGTTTGCTGGATGTTCTTGATTAGGAAGGTTAATTGTGTGGGTCGTCTGGTGAGAGTTGGGGATGGAGGCAGGAGCTCAGCTGCTCCTCAGCTCTCCCATCTGCCTTCAACTCAGATTCCCAGTTGGAGATGGTCCTTGTGACCCTCTGCAAGGTGTTGAGTTTTGTAAAATGTTGTGCTCACATGTTTTGCTCCCAACAAATCTTCATACTGGATTTATATATATATATATATATGTATGTATATATATGTATGTATGTATATGTATGTATATATATAGGGTATGTTAATAAAGTGAATACCTTCCTAAAGGTTTTATGCTTAGCTATAGGAGATCATTAAGGGAGTGTAATAAAATGCTGCTGTGCTTGGTCTTATTAAGGTGAGCAGAAAAAATAGGAAATTCTGTTTTTTTGGTAGTTTCATAATACAAACTTGCTTTCTTGAATTTTTTTTATTCTTCTAAAACCAGAGAATGCCTAGTTATAATGAGGTTTATACAGAGGTATTATTACTTTGCTCAAGTTTTACACACTTTACACTGCCTTTGAAGATGTTTTTTAAAAATCTAAGTTGTCGTGAGTCATCCTTGCTGTCTTTTCATTTCCCAGAGCTTGGTATTATTTTACTGTTTTTCAATTCCAAGCCTGATACACCTCATATATTGAATATAATGAAGTATTTACAATGGAAATAAAATCTGCATATAGATAAAGGTCTTAAAATGGTGTGTGAATTTTGAGGTATTGTTTGAATATTTTCTTAATAGATAACTGGTGATTGGTTGCTGGAAAGAAGTACAAGAAACAACTTGAACCACCTCAGTCTCCTGTGATCCATTGATATATATGTTCCTTGTTCCACCTAAAAGTTGGTTCATCTTGTTGGATGATAATCTTGAAACTCCTTTAGAAATCACTTCGTGGTGGTGTTCGTTGCCTTGCTTAAGTTATGGGCATCACTTTTTCTTTCCTTTTCATCGGAGAAGGTATCTTAGTACTATGTTCTCCAAGTCACAGTGTACCTAGCACCTGGCAACTCAAGGTTGGTCAGGGCACCAGCACCCACTGTGCAGCATGTGGGGCAGAAATGTTATGGTACTAATAATGTGTGGAGAATGTACAAGACCTACTGAGCGGTAGGTCTTGTATTTTGACAGGCTGTAGAAACACAGAATGTTAGGGGCTGGAAGAGGCCTCTGTAAATCAAGTCCAACCCCCTGCTGCAGCAGGAACACCTAGGACAGGTCACACAGGAACGTGTCCAGATGGGGCTGGAAAGTCTCCAGAGAAGGAGACTCCACAGCCTCTCTGGGCAGCCTGGCCCAGGGCTCTGTCACCCTCACAGCAAAGAAGTTAGTTCTTCATCGTGTTGAGCAGAAGTGACATTTGCAATATCAGGTTATTCTTGGCTGTGCCTGTTTCCACTCCAGGATCATGCCAGAGGCCTATAAATACATTTTTCTACATCTTGCTCATCTCCTCCTTCAGATGAATTATATTTTAGTTTAAAGAATATTCCTCCTACCTAATCCCCCTATTTTTGTAGCATTAACAAAATAGCCATTTCAGAACAGACTGAAATAACCAAGCTAACCCAAATCTAAAGCAAGTTTTTGTGCTGAGTGGTGTCCAGATTCTGCAGGTCTGTCTGAATTCTTCATCAGTTCTTCCATTGAAATGAATTGGACACTTTCCTGAGAAAAATGCTGCATAAATTATCCTTAAACAGGAAGAACAAGCTACCCTAAAACTCTGGGATGAAGATGTTGGTGAAGATCAGTGGATAAATAGCCTTGTGCAAATGCACTGCATATTGACTGCAAAAGCTACAAAGATGCCACCATGCCTTTTAACTGCTCTCATCCTATCTTCTTTATTTGATATGATTTATTTGCACTTAACATCCTTTTGGATGTTAGCAGGCTAATTTTTTCACATCTCCTTGCCAAATGCTGGCATTCACAGAATCACAGAATGTTAGTGGTTGGAAGGGACATCCAAAGATCAAGTCCAACCCCCCTGCCAGAGCAGGACCACAAAAAAAACTAGGGCAGGTCACTCAGAAATGCATCCAGATGGGGCTGGAAAGTCTCCAGAGAAGGAGACACCACAACCTCTCTGGGCAGCCTGTCCCAGGGCTCTGTCACCCTCCCAGGAAAGAAGTTCGTCCTCGTGTTGAGGTGGAACTTGCAGTGCTCAAGTTTGAGTCCATTGCCTCCACTGAAGCTGGAGTTAATCTTGGTAACACAAATCATCTCCTGTGACGCTTCTTCTGCCTTTATTCCATAATTTCTGTGTGGTCTTCAACTGTGTTGTGATTCAGAGAGCTGGGCACATGCTGTGTATTGTATTTTAAATCAAACTCATTTAACCTCTTCCCTGACCTGTAGAAGGCTTCTGCTGCCTTTATCCCATAATTTCTGTGTGGTCTTTAACTTTGTTGTGATTCAGAGACCTGGGCACCTGCTGTGTATTGTATTCTAAATCAAACTATCAACTCATTTAACCTCTTCCCTGACCTGTAGAAGGAAACTTGATTCAATTCTTCATAGAGAAGTTTTTATCACAAGGCTGCCAAGGACTTAATTTGGTGTATGATAGCAAACAGGAGGACATAGAGGAGGAAATAAATCACAAAATGTTTATTGCAGCCCTTAAATGATTTTATGAGCATTCAGCTATAACAGAAAGGAAAAGAGGGATGGCAATTAGTTTTATGTACTCATTACTGCCACTGTTAAGGGAAAGTTGGGAGCTTTTGAGAGTCCCCAGGGCTGAAGATCAAACCACAAACCCCAAAGAAGCTTGAAGTCTGCTAGTTGTGTGGTTAATTGAATGGAGGAGGTGTTAGGTATTGTTTTACAAGCAATTAATTTAATTCCTGGTGTCCAGGTTCTGTCCTATCCATAGAAAAACAACTAGTATCTAAGATGAGGCTGTGTCTTGCTTTGTTTGAATATCTTCTTAACATTAGTTGCATCTAGCTGCTACCAGCAGGTCAAGGAAACACAGCAGTGAGGTTCCTGAGAAGAAAGACTCTTTAGCTGACTGTATTTGACCCTTTTTTGTGGCCAAGAATGGAGCTAGGCTGGTTTTACCTCAAAGTGGAGTCTCCTGGCATGTTTGCTTTCCAATCAATAAGCCATTTTGCTGGTGTTGTCTCTGTTTATTCATTGTCTGTAATACACCTAGCTTTGAACAAGTTAAATAATATTGACTATGTAATTCTATTTTAAAAACCCCACCAAAACCCAAACACCCCAAAAAGCCGTAGAACCCACCATGCAACCATGTCTTTGCGGACTTAAAAGATGGCTGATAAAAATGCTGTTGCAGCATAACTGGCCTTTTGTTTGCTTTAAAGAGTGTTTGTTTGGCAGTTCCTTCTGCATCTTAGATGCACCTGTGATTCCTCTCCCTGCAAGTCTGCTCTTATCTACACCCATTCACCCTTTGCTTATTTTTCCCCAAGTCTTTCAATCTGTCTTTTTGTCTTTGTGATCTTATTAATGTGAATTGTGTGTTGTCTTTATCCTGCTATTGAGAAAAGCCCTTGTTTATGAAAACCCAGAAGGTTCTATGTTTATTGCTGGCTCTCACGTTATAGATTTGGCATGAATCTGCCTCATTGTCTTGGCAAGACAAGAATTCCACAAGAATGCACAGTGGCCCAACTGGGAAAAGGATACATTAATTATTGCAGCTGAATGACATTGATTACAGCAATTAAGCTTTCTTTTTTTTTTTTCTTTGAAAGAAAAATAGTTGGAGAACAGAGCAGGAAAGACTTAACATCTTCCATTCTATGTGATTGTGCTTAACACAGTGTTTTCTTGCTTTGTTGTGAATGTTGAGGGTGGGGAGGGGAAGCCCTTTTTCATATCCCAATAACATTGTTCTTTCTTCAAACTGTTCCTATGTTAAAATCCGTCCTGAAATGCAGACAAAGAGACTGTGTTTGGGAAGGAGACATCGTTATTTATGGCAAGTTTGTAGAAAGCTGGGGGCTGGGTGCCTTCCTACAAATCAAGCACACCCAAGGATATTTTTCATTACATATTTATACACAAAGCTGTGAATTTAGTAAAAAACTTAAAAATTTAGGAAGCTTCCAAGGCCATTCTCCTTACAGTGGTTGCCTAGTGATTCACACAGAGTTATAACATGGTTGCATCACTATTTTTGCTATCACACATGCTCAGGGGAAGGGTCTTCACCTGGGCAGGGGGCTTTTTGACCTGGGTGTGTGATTTTTAGTATTATAATGACATGATAATGAGCTAAGTTCACCTAAAGGACACAGTATCAAAGCTCCTAAGGCTCCAGCTGCCCCAGACTGGTTTAGCTGCCAGTGTTCTTGATTCTGGTTCTTCTTTATCACCTCCTTGCATTCCTGAGGTCCAATTATCCGTATGGACCTCAAGTCTTCTCTGACAAGTTGGTGATTTCCATGACACACCCTTAAAACCTCTTGATTAATCACGTTCTTCAGGGCCTTAATTATTCCAGGATCTCCTTGCTGAGTGCTGGCTGTGACACTGATTGTGTGCCTCTGACTGCAGTTTGAACTTTATGTATATCCAGAGCACATCTTACACAAAATAACCACATCATTCTACATTCCTGAGTTATTTTCCAACTAAATGAGCTGTGCATATAGCACTTTGGAAGAAATTATATTCTTAAAATGCTGTCTCTTGACTTTTTTTTTCCTTTTCCCTTTTCCTCTTCCCTTTCCTCAGTGGTCAAGAGAAAAAAACTTAAATACCTGTTGGGAACTAATAGGAGTCTTGCTCTAGAAGCATTTTCTAGTCTCATAAAACCTTAGGAAAATGTCACATTCATGTTACTTTAGGATATATTGTCTGGGCTTCATTATTGACTGTGGCTTGTGTCTGAGGTGAAATCCTCCAAGCAGTTCTCAGTTTTGACTACCAGGAGCCACTTTGTGTCCCTCCTGGGGGATTCTGTATAAAGGAAACCACATTTCCATGATAAAAAACTGATTTCCTTTAGAAAGTGCAGTTCACTAGGTGAAAATTTTTAATGTGTTTTTAATAAACTGATTGTGGAAGGGAATAATTTGGCTTTATGGTGGCTATTCCCTTTGGTGTGCTTCTTAAAATCGTGTCCTGGATTTAGGAACAAATGAAAGTTAAAGCAGAATAACACCACCCTAACCTGGCTAGAATGTGTTTATTGCAGGACCTGTTGATTTGAAAATACAAAATAAACAAGCATTTAGGTCATGATTTTGCCTGTTGGGTGGTGGAGAGGGGAAAACTATGCCTACTTTTAGGCCACTATAAACCCCTGCATTTTTTTGTGTTGTGGGTTTCTCTTTACAATTTTATCTTAAAAGCAGAAAAAAGAGATTTGTCTTCTATTTTTTTAGTATTATATGACAACTTCAAGTAGTTTAATTCCTCAGTCAGTCTTGCAAGGATTTGCTTTGAAAAATTGCGGTTCTGTTGTAAAATGCCACCAATTTTATTGTTTGGAGTAGCTGCATTTAAAGAATAGTTTTAGTTATCCTGTGCATTTTGTCACTTGGTGTGTGAGTAATTTCTGCTCACATAAAATGAACTTTGGAAGCTCATGATGCTTATCATTGCAAGGTGTAAAACCTCTTCAATAAATAAATATGCATTATTGTCAAAATATTATCTAGATTTAATTAAGAGTAGCAGTGATGTGTAGTGTAGTTGCATGCATGTGACAGACCACAATAGAGAATATTGTTTAGTAGATGCTGGGTAAAGGAAATGGTTTTCTATCTGTCTCTTAATTCTTCACTTGGGATTTAAAAAAAGGGGCGGGGAGTACGTGGAGTAAAGGGAATTGTGAGAGGGGACTTGAACTGTGTATCAGTGAGAAGACACTAGTGACCAGTTTGAGTGTTAGCAGTAACACCATTTCATTTTACTTTTAGTAGTAAAGTAAGGTTTGATGTGATTCATATTGGCATATTATTACCATACCAAGATTTCATTTAATTTATCCAATTGTTATTAGTTATTCCTTGTATATATCAAAGATCTAGCATCTCCTTTTTCTCTGGCGGTAATCCTGAGGGCCTTCTATTTCACTAAAGAATGCCATCTCTTAATTAAAGAATTTCTCTTCCAGTGTTTCTTCCTGACTTAAAATTCTGATTTTCTGGATTCATAGGTTTAAATCTGTTTGCTTTCTTTATTTGAAAAGAAACCCTTTGATATGTTTGTTTTTAGGAACAGAGTGTGAAGACCTCATAGAAGAGTTGCTGTGTTGCCTGATCCAGCTCATTGTTGAAATTCCCCTCTTGTAAGTTTGCTTTTTCCTTTTGTTTTTTTATCTAGCCCTCCTGGCTTCTTCCCATGAATTGATCATTTGAGAGAATATAAAACTTAGAGTGATGGGATCATAATATTTAAATACTTGTATTTGAAAGTTGCATGTGATGGGGCAGTATTGATAGCAAGAACCTGCTGCCAGTACCAGCAGTGGATGTTCTACTGGATGAAATACAGGATTAGCATCTACACACACAGTTCAAAACAGCAGCAGAAGTTACCCTGCCTTATTCATTAGCAGCTCTTATGTTTGTTTCACGTACCTCTGTCAGCACGGGAACATTTTCTGCTAACTTTTGGCTAGAAATGGCTGTGGGGAAATGGGAACCTTGTGGGGGGATGCAGCAAAATTTCCTCTTCTGCAGTTTCTGTGTGTGTTAAGTAAGTCATTATTTATCACTGATTTCTGAAATACCAGGAAATTGAGGTTGAAAAGAGAAATTACTAAGAGGAATACTTACGTGGCTGTTTTAATAGATCTACTGTATTTGAGCTATGTTGTTTCCACATCCCACATGGAGGTGTTGGAGAGAGTCCAGAGGAGGCCACAAAGATGATGAGAAGGCTGGAGCAGCTCTGCTCTGGAGCCAGGCTGGGAGAGTTGGGGTGTTGAGTCTGGAGAAGAGAAGGCTCCAGGGAGACCTTAGAGCATCTTCCAGTGCCTGAAGGGGCTCCAGGAAAGCTGGGGAGGGACTTGGGACAAGGGCAGGGAGGGATGGGATGAGGGGGATGGATCAAAACTGGAAGAGGGGAGAATTAGGTTGGATATTAGGAGGAAATTCTTTGGTGTGAGGGTGGTGAGAGCCTGGCCCAGGTTGTCCAGGGAAGCTGTGGCTGCCCCATCCCTGGCAGTGTTGAAGGACAGGTTGGATGGGACTTGGAGCAACCTGGGCTGGTGGGAGGTGTCCCTGCCCATGGCAGGTCCCTTCCAACCTTAACCCTTCTATGTGTCATGAAAGATTCTTGAGCATTACATGTAGGAGAATTTTGGAAAGAAAAAATGTTTTTCCAGACCTATCCTGATAAGTTTGAACTTCTTTTCCCCCTCCAGATAAAGCTGAGCAAGGGTAGTGTTAGGAACAACTTTTGTGTTCAAAAAATCACTAAAATATAGTGCCCCAATTAAAGCCTCGCAGCTTGGAAAGAATTTTAGATTCTGTGTTGACTATTATGTTGATTATTTGGTCTTTATACTTGGGATTGTTCTTTTGGTTGGAAAGCTGACAGAGATGCAGCAGTTTTTGGAACATGGCTCAGATTAAATACAAATCTGTCAACATCACACAGGGTTTTCTGTAGGTAGTGTGCAGCAAATTAATGATACGATGGAGAGTGTCAATCTGCAAAGCTTGTCAGGACTTCCTGGAACAGATACACCTTTTGTTTGGAGCAGATTACAGGAAGTACGAATGGGTTGAAAGGACTGAGATCTACGGGCAAGTTCATAAATCCTGCAGGATTTTGTTTTTCTTTCTTGGAAGTCCCAGTGTGTGTGTGTGTGTGTGTGTGGAGTCCTGTATTATTTATTCTGCCTTTCTGGCAGAAAAGTTTTTTACAGACATGATTGGTCTTAACCCTTTTCAACAACTGAACCTGTCACCATCTCTATTGCTTTGTGAATGAGGCTGCTGGGAATGGAAGTAGCTGTTGAAAGCACTTCAGTTTACTCTACAAAATAATGATAATAATAGCTCATAAAGTTGCAAATCCTGTCAATAATATTTAATGTTCAGCTGTGTGGAAGACATACAGTGTGTAAGACAACAGGTAGTGTTGGGAGGAGAGCTTTGGGATACCTGTGTGTATGTTTTTGCAGCTGGGTACATCATTTTGATCCATTTTAACCCAGACTGACCAAAACCAACTGTGTACGTTTGGGCTTGGCAGGAACACGAGGGTGTGAAGGCTCAAGTCTTCAGAGCTTGCTCACATCTGAGCTTGCTCTAGTAAAAGCCTTGGCAGAATGAGCTCATGTCTGTCTCCACACTAACCAGCAGTTGTGTTTGGAAAAGGCAGGTGGGCAGTCTAGCTCAAAATTAAGGGAGGTGTGAGATGGGGGAGGTGACAGTCTGATTGAACCCACCTCTTCAAACCCCTTACTAGGAATAGAACTGAAGAACCAAAATGTGATGGTTTTTTTTGGGAAAGGCTGCAGAGGTGTACTGCAAAGCATCTCTAGGAGTGGCTCAGAGTTGCCTTTGAATTTAAGACACTCTTTTTCAAAATTAGTTCCTCTTGGGAAAGGCAAATGTGCTTGAAGGCAGTTACACTGAGCACACCTCAAACAGGTTGCAGCAGGGACCATGGGACCCTGCAGCCTTGTGGCCCTGAGAGTTATTAAAAAGATGATTAATTACTCTGTTGTGAAACAGGCTCTGCTGCTCTGTACCAAATGCCAAGGAAAAAAGGTTTCATGTTTTAATTTTAAAAGCATTTTATAGGAACTACAGTGTGATTGCTTTTCAGGCATCAAACTTGTGCAGCCCCCTGTAACACTTGTGTTACAGGGTGTTGATGTTTGATTCATGTCTCCCTAGGGTATGTCATGGATACTCTGCTTTCCGTTTGGTTTTGTTAACATTCACACTCTGTAGTGTACAGTGATGATTAAAACTGCACAGTCAGCAAAAAAGGTGCAACTTTAGTGTTTAATTGTATGACTTTTAAGTATAAACTCTTGCTAATATTTTGTTGCAAGATAGGGCTCCCAGAGCTTTGCATTATAAAGGTTTCTTTCAGCTACTTGTTAAGAGCTGGGGTACCTGACTGAACATCTGGTTGTTATTAGGACATTTTCACTTCATTAAAAACTATAAAAGCATTAAGGAGGAAAAATGAAAACCTGTGATCTAGGGACATCAGTGTTAAGCAGCACCCTGTGGTGCCAGGAGAATTTGGTTGATATTTCTATTATATTTCTCATACAATCCATTATGGTTTTAAACTGAAAGAGGGGAGATTTAGATTGGACATCAGGAAGAAATTCTTCACCATGTGGTGAGACACTGGAGTAGCTTGCCCGGGGAGGTTGTGGCTGCCCCATCCCTGGAGGTGTTCAAGGCCAGGCTGGATAAGGCTTGTGCAGCCTGGTCTGATGGGAGGTGTCCCTGCTCATGGCAGGGAGGTTGGAACCTGATGAGCTTTAGGGTCCCTTCCAACCTTCCAACCATTCCATGAATCTATGATTTTCTGGAGTTAAAATTGGTTTACATTGCAATCTTCGTTACCTGGAAACAATGAGGATATTTGGACTCATTTAAGAATGCTCTGCATAATCTGGGAGCTTAAAAGTCAACCACAGGTAGAAGAAGGGTGATACAGAATCACAAACTGTTTTGGGTAGCAGAGGCTCTGTTACCCTCAGAGTAAAGAAGTATTTTCTCATATTCAGGTTAAACTTCTTGTTAACCAGTTTGTGACCATTGCCCCATGGCCTGTCACTGGACACCACTGATAACAGTCTGGCCCCATCCTTCTGACACCCCCTGTAGATACTTAGAATTTTGATGAGATTCCCCCCTGTGCCTCCTTTTCTCTAAACCAGTAGTTCAAATTGTCCATTTTCATGGGTATTTGCACTGTTCTGTTGTTTTTAGGAAAGATTTTTCACTTAGATTTAGCAGATATTGCTACTAAGACTTGTTGATATGAAAGGGAAGACTGTAGATTCTTTGTAAATATCCTTTTTCTAATTTTTTAAATTTGTAGAGGGAAGAATTGAATGCCTATGAAGTGAAGCTATACACATCCATGTAGTCTCAGATGGTTTAAGACAGATCTGGGAATAGAATCAGATCATAGAATCCTAGGGGTTGGAAGGGACCTGGAAAGATCCCCCAGCCCAACCCCCCTGCCAGAGCAGGGTCACCCAGAGCACATCACACAGGAACGTGTCCAGGGGGGTTTGAATGTCTCCAGAGAAGGAGACTCCACAACCTCTCTGGGCAGCCTGTCCCAGGGCTCTGTCACTCTCACAGTAAAAAAATTTTTCCGGATATTCACCTTGAACTTCCTGTGCTCCAATTTGCACCCATTACCCCTTGTCCTATCACTGGTCATCACTGAGAAAAGCCTAACTCCATCTCCCTGACACTCACCCCTTACATATTTGAAAACATTAATGAGGTCACCCCTCAGTCTCCTTTTCTCCAAGCTCTTGAATCCAACTATCATTTTAATCCTTCAGATATTCCCTTTAGTGTCTTTCCATCATTGGTTGCTTTCTCACTCTGATTCTGTCTCCCAGTCAAGAATCCCAAATGCAGCAGGAAATGTCAGAGATGCTTCTGGCTTCCAGTTGGTGTTTCTTGGATGCCCCTTTGGGATACATCCCAAATGTTTGGAGCCAGCTGGAATCAGCACGGTGCATTATCAGCTGCCATGGTGCCTCTTTGCCATCAGTGGGTGTAAAATTAGGAGTGATTCCAAGAGGTAGGAGAATGTTCACTTGGGGTTGTATCCTGAGACTGATAACCAGATATTCTACTTGCGTTCCAGTTCTCAAAACCAATTCTACTCTCTGTGGTGTCTCCTCTTTCACCTTCTGGTGGGCCCTCAGGAAGCAGGGAAATGAAACCTGGTTCCTGAATGATTTGAGGGTTTTTGTGTGAATCAGCCCTTTTGGCAGCTCTCCTTAATTAGACAATGAGTTCCCTTTTAACCTTTTAATACCAGGGTAGGGAGTTCTGGCTGGGTGAAAGTTCAGGAAAATATTTAAACTGGTAGGGAAGGGGGTTTGGTCTGGTGGTGTGAGTTGAAATTCAGGGGCTAGTTTCTGACTGTTGAGCCTGTTTGCTCTGGAGGTGTGAAATAATTTATGAGCTCTCAGTCTCTGTGTGCTGAGGGATAGAAATAGCTGCATTTCATTGAGTAATTAAAGTGTTTGCTACAGAGTGGGAATTGGAGTTCCTGGCTGAGATTTTCCTGTGTGTTACCTCCATGCTTCATCTTGGTTCCTTTTTCACAGACCTCTCTCCTGTGGACAGGGAGCAAAGCTGGATCATGTGGGGAGCACAAAAAGCAGTTGTGAACAGTGCTTGGTCTTGGAAGGAAGCCAGCAGCAGCAGGATGGTGACACATGGGTAGATTGTTGAAGTTCTTGGTAGATGAAGGTCATCCATGTGGTTTTGAATAGGAAAAGCAGATGCCAGGACACTGGGGAGCTCAGCTTGTAACAGGTCTATAGTTCTTGTTCTGTGGTGGGTAATTGTCTCGTTTGGAAACAGCAGTTCCACCAATACCCCCCTTTCCTTACCAGCTTGGATACCTGAGCTGCTGGTACCACCAGCCTTCTGCAAACTGCTCTTCTTGCTTTTACTTGGATCTACAGGAGCAAACAAGTATATTTGTTGGTTTGGGTTTTTTTTACTATTTTCCCACAAGCCACAAATAACCTTGCTGTTAGGATCTTCATGGTTTGGTCTGCTTCAAACTCCAGTGTGTTGTAACAGGTTACTCAGAGAAGCTGTGGCTGCCCCATCCCTGGCAGTGTTGAAGGGCAGGTTGGATGGGGCTTGGAGCAGCCTGGGCTGGTGGGAGGTGTCCCTGCCCATGCAGGGGGTTGGATCTGGATGATCTTTAATGTCCCTTCTGACCCAGACCAGTCTGGGATTCTATGATTATGAATTTCCAGTAGGTCCCAGGTCAAAAACTCTTGCTAAGTGATGCTGACACCTGCTATAAATCAATGATTATTGGGTTATGAATCATAGTGTGGAAATGAAGTAGTAAACGTGGAGGAAACATTAAAAGTACTTAAAAAAAACCACCACCACCTTATAATGGGATAGAGGATGGTGGTGTTGCACCAAATGAAGTGTAAGTTCTTACTTTTGGAGTGAACATGGTCTTTGTTTGAAAGGAAAGATGATACTGGTTCATGTCCAAGTTATTTCATTGTCTTTTAAAAGGTTTCACATTGCCTTCAGTTTGTTAGTGATTAAGGAGGCAAATGCCATTTTTCCCTCCCTCCTTTTAAAAATAAAACATGTAACAAGGTAATTTACAGACAGAGGTGGGACTAGGCAGCTAGATGAATGGACTTCTCATCCATTTTTCTGCAGAGCCTTTCCCAATTAACATTAAGTTAATGAACTTCGCTGAACTGTCTGGTGTCAGGATTTAATCACTGCAGCACATTCCTTGGGACTGCCTCACAGTTACCTCAAAAACACCATATAAAAGTAAACAATTCTGTGTATTATCTGATATCCTGAGCATTTCTTACACTTGAAGTAGGATTTGTTATCGTCCTGTTGAAGGGAATCAATTTTACTGGCAGGTGGAGCTGTGTTTGGATTGCTGGACACTTCCCTGACTTAGCATGATGGCAAATGTGACACTTTGAACAGCACGAAGGACATGCTTTTGAGATATATGTCTTACTTTTAGACTGAAGTGTACTCTGAAGATTGCAGTTCTGGGCAGTACCTCAGTGTTTTTACATTGTCTTGTCTTTTGGCAGATCAAAAATAAAAGCTTTGGTCTAAGAAAAAAAAAAATCCATTGTTGGTATGAAGTGATTTGGGGTTTTCTTAATGTTTTTTAAGTGTTCATGAGTGAAACTCTGTTTTAAACAGTGAGTAACGTCAGCTGAAGGTATCAAGTTGGAAGTTCTTTTGTAATGAAATCCAGTAGATAAATCTTTGGTTTGTTTTTTTTTTCCCCACAGAGATATCACATACAGCATTTCCTTGGAAGCTGTGACCACTCTCATTGTCTTCCTCTCCTGCCAGTTATTCCACAAGGAAATTCTACGGGAGAGCATCATTCACAAGTACCTGATGCACGGTCGATGGTATGTTCTGGGGTGCTACCTCATGGCAAAGCAAAGGCCATGGTTCCTTGTTTGGACTGTTTGCACTTGAGAACAAAAGATAGTGAAATAGTGTTTGAGAACAGGTGGATAATTAACTACCTTGTTAACAAAGTCATTCATGCAAGGTAGAAAGATGTCATTCTGGCAGCTGAATATACATGGTGCAAAGGAATCGTGTTGTGGAATCACAGAATCATTTGGGTTGGAAGGGACCTTCAAGGGACATAGTTCCAACCCCACTGCATGGGCAGGGACACCTTCCACCAGGCCAGGTTGCTCCAAGCCCCATCCAACCTGCCCTTCAACACTGCCAGGGATGGGGCAGCCACAGCTTCTCTGGGCAACCTGGGCCAGGGTCTCACCACCCTCACACCAAAGAATTTCCTCCTCATGTCTCACCTAAGTCTCTCCTCTTCCAGTTTTAATCCATCCCCCTCATCCCATCCCTCCCTGCCCTTGTCCCAAGTCCCTCCCCAGCTTTCCTGGAGCCCCTTCAGGCACTGGAAGGTGCTCTAAGGTCTCCCTGGAGCCTTCTCTTCTCCAGGCTGAACACCCCAACTCTCCCAGCCTGTCTCCAGACCAGAGCTGCTCCAGCCCTCCCATCATCTTTGTGGCCTCTTCTGGACTCCTTCTAGGAGCTCAATTTCTTTCTTCTGTTGGGGGATAGAAAACTTACTCTGCTCAAGAGAAAGCAGAAAACAAAACCAAACGTTTGTAAAGGCTGTTGGAAGGTTTCAGATTTAAATCTCATGGCCCACATGCCAGTAAAACTATTTTGGATGCCATCTTCATTGTTTGAAGGTAATTTCAGTAAATTAAACGAGCTTTTGTTCTTCAAGGTATTTTTTTTTCAGATTTGGCTGAGGGTCTTTCCCTGTAACACTGCAGTTAAACACCTTCCTGGAGATGTTGAAAGCCAGGTTGGATGAGGTTTTGTGCATCCTGGTTTAGTGGGAGATGTCCCTGCTCACAGCAGAGAGGTTGGAACCTGATGAGCTTTCAGGTCCCTTCCAACCTTCAACATTATATGGTTCTAATAGGTCTCAGTTGGGAGTAGCAGGGATCTGACCTCTCTTGAGAGGGCTGGGAATTGGTGGGTGGGAATTTAGTGCAATGAGAAGAGTTGACAAGATACTGGTTAGAGGGGATTGGAGTCCATCCAAACACAGCCTCTGGTCACCTCTCAGTCATATGGAAGTGGGAAAGAACTGTTGACTTTTGTGGAAATCCTCTGTTTTGGAAAGCTTGTAACCTTGGCTTTAAATCCAAAAAATTTGATTTTCATTTGTCAGGGTCACTGGTGTGAGGTCACATGTTTCCTTGGTCTTTGCAAATGGACCCCGACATAAATACTGGGGAGGAGGGAGAGTTACTGTTGTTACCTGTTTTATGTAACCAAAGCATGGAGTCAAACTAAACAAGTATGTGTGTGGTTTTTTTCCCATTGGATAAATATTTTTCCAAGTGTATCATGAGGGAGAAGACCACAGTGATTAAGTGATTGATTTAAAAGCAGTCTTGAAAAAAGAAAAAAAGTAGTTCCCAAGATGCTGCTGCTGAAGGTGCTCCTGCAGAGCCCTGCTGAAGTCAGAGCAGCTTTGCATGGGCCAACCCTTGGTGTTCTTTCCCTTTCCAGTCTGCTCCCAGTATCCCAGTTTAGTGCCAAACCAGCAGCTTTTGCGCCCTGCCTGGGCTTCATTGTGCCAATTTTTTTCCAAGTTGTGAGTCAAGTAAAGCTGTTTTCTTTTTCTTTTCAGTCTCCCATACACCAGCAGACTTGTGAAGACTTTACTCTATAATTTCATTAGGCAAGAAAGAAGCCCTCCTCCAGGGAGCCATGTCTTTCAGCAGCAAACAGATGGAGGAGGACTGCTTTATGGAATTGCATCTGGGGTGGCAAGTGAGTCTTACTTTCTCTACATTTCTCTATATTTAAACCTGCCAAATTACTGACCTCTCTTACACCTGTACGCACATTGTAGCCCAGTTATTTTTCACCCAGTGATCCCAGTGGGGGTGCTGAGGATAGAAAAGCTGTCCCCAGGCCTGCTTGGGTTGTCGTCATAGATGATGCATCTCAAGATGTGTTGGAATCTTAAGCAATTTTACCCAGAGGCACTGCAAGGACATGGGAAAAGTAGCACTTAGTTCCTGTTGTTCATTTATGGAGACATTAAAAAAAAACAACCTTCCCAAACAATTAATGTCCTCTTTGATAAAGCTTTGACTTAGTTAAAATGTTGTAAGAAAGACTTTTATGTGCGTATTTTAGTCTTTATAATGAATCAGTGGGTGTGGTGACCTGCTCTGTGCTTGAGGAGAAGGTTGGACTTGGTGGTCTCAGGAGATCATTTCCACTTTCAAGGATTCTGTGATATAAAGGGGCTGATCTAGGTGGGAATTTTAGGGCCATATTGCAATGTGTCCCTTGCCCAGTAGGCTGACTAATGTTTTTTTCCTGAATAGCATGACTATAGAGTCCTCCCTTTTGTGTGAGGACTGTTTGGTACAGACAGAGATTGCCTGAAGACTCTGAAAGCCTCAATGTCATTTTTTTTGTGAAGAAAAAAGGGTTCTGGTGTTTGTTAGACTCTAAACTGTGTTTTGGTTCGTGGTTTCTTGCTTTCCACACACCAGATGTGGTGTTCTCCTCATACCAAATCCCATGCTGAAGTCAAATCACAGCCCTATTCCAGCTACTAGAAGAAAAATTAGCTCAATCTCAGCCAAACCCAGTTGAATATTACATATCAAAACTCTTCCTCAAGGTTTTTCTCTTCCCTCTAATAAGAAAAAACCATAGTGCATTGCTAGCAATAAAGGTATATGTTGTTTTCTTTTCCCCTGATCAACTAAATAACACTTTGCAAGTCAGTTGCTGTTAAAACTGGTGCTATTTATTTTGTTCTTTTATGAAATCCATTCCCTGGCAGCATCCCTAGGGGATGTTAAAATTCAAGGCTCCAAGTGCTCTGCCAGAAAAATGTGTTACAGTCAGTGACAATGTGTATGTCTCTCCTCATGGAGGCAGTAAAAGAGCAGGTCTGTGCAGCACATCACTGCTTCTGTGTGAGATGAGGTTTCATACAGCTCCATGTTCTGTTGGGACATGCACTCCTTTTTGGTTTCCAGTTGACACACTGGGTTGTGTCCACAATATGAGTGTGACACAAAACAGTTGCTTGGTTTGTAGTGTGTTTAAAAAGAGAAATCAATTCAGTTGTTCCCTACAACCATTTGATTAGCATCCCAACAGGTACCTTCTTTCCCATCTTTTCCATTGCTGACAAAATTGCTGTTAACATGTTTTTCTGGAGCAGGTTTTGGTAGGTGGCTGGTTTTTTTTGCTTGTGCCTGGAGAGCAGTTCTCACTGCTTGCTTTGCTACCTCTGCTAACCTTCTGGTTCTCATCTCTCTAGTTATGCTCAAGGGTCTTTCTGCCCTTCTGCTGCCACAGGCAAAACAGATTTCCATCTTCTGGTTACTTGATTGATGTGTAAAGTCCATCTCAATTGCCATCCCTCCTGTATCTCCTCTGATATCAGATCCCCCAGGACTTTTTTACTCCTTGATTGTCCAGTTTGCATTTCTTTGTGCAAACTCCTCAGGTTTCAGCCTAGTCTGTTCTTTTCTCTTCCTCTACTTCCAGCCCCCTCACTCCTCTTGAACCATTCTCCTACACTTGTTTCCTTGCTTCATTCATGACTACCTGAAGTGCCATCTCTTCTCCCAGTGAATTAAGTATCTTCACTTCAAGCTTTAAGTAAGAGAGCCTTTATAAAGAGCTTTTTAATGACCTTCTTGGAAAAGGGGGGGGGTGTGTGTGCAAAATAAGTACCACATCCTGTTAGAAAATAGAAGTATTTTTTCTGTTTCTGCCCCAACAGCTGGTTGGTGGTTTTTGTGTCTGATTATGTGCCTGTATAGGATGTTGGACTATAGATGAAACTTGGACACAGTAAGGTTGGGAGAGTAAATGTCATATTTGGCTATCTGTAACATCTCAAAATTAACCCTTTGCAGTCCTTTGGTTACTAAAGCATCAGGTGCAGGAGTAGAGAGCAACACAGGTTAGAAGACAACAACACAAATTGATTATCTGTTCTGGAATAGAGGCAAGTTTTGAGCGTGAGCAGATGTGGAAAACTTAGGCATGATTTTTCTATTGTTTATTTTGGGGAATTTTGTCATCTTTATCAGATAAGAGCTGCAAGAAGAAGGGAAGATTTGAAAATTTACTATTATGTTGCTTAGTGTCTTTTAAATACCACATAATGCTTACAATAAGTTCACTGAAATAGTCTAAGTCGAATCTCTTTAGAATGAAAGGAGATAGGATCCTGGTTTTAAAAATAATTTAGTTTGCATAGGAAATTTCAAAGCCTGAAATAATCACAGAATCATAGAATAGTGAAGGTTGGAAGAGACCTTAAAGCTCATCGGGTTCCAACCTCCCTGCTATGAGCTGGGACATCTCCCACTAATGAATAATTACCATATTTGTTAATTTGAAATGATTTAACATGACACCACAGTTTTCTGTCTCACCACGTATTATGTCATGCATATTTTGCAGTCACTTGCACAGCAGCAGCAGATCAACAAACTTATAAAACCTGT